ACGGTGTGTCGATAAGTAATCGTATGCTGACGTGAGCCGGGTAGAGAAAAAAAAATAAGTTAGTTGAAGGTGTATTTACGGAGGTTCGTTTCGTCTTTATGGTCGTGCGGTTCGTTGTACCTACTGTATTAAGTCAAACTGCGGAACCCGCTAAAATCGAAAACTTTAGCTCTTTCGGTGATATTATTATTATTATTATAATTATATTCGAAGAATAAATCGTACGTTCATTGTACGTCAAATAATATTTCCAATAAAATGAAATGTAAAAATTAATAAGTAAGTATAATACGAATGTAACAAAACCTATGTTTTGTTACATTCGTATCACCCAGGGAAACGTTTATGTGTTATAATACATAAACTGACTTCTTCGTACCTACTGAATGCCTGATAGGATAACTATACTTCTCGTCAAATGTCTGCAGTTATACCGTTTGCTTCATTGCGTTTAACCGGATCTGCGGATTGAATGATATTGTAATATACTAATACAGTGCCCGCTACCCAACTAAGCACAGTAGGTCAGCGCATATCAATGCAGAAGTTTTCGAGTTCGGTGGTCGCGGACCTATAGTTTTTGAATCAAATTAAATAACTACCGTAAGAGGAGTGGCCTTATTCGAATCTCGATTTCAACGCGGCTGTAAAAAGATAAACTTTTCTCACTTTTTTTGGTGCATTATTTTTTTTCTACGGAATACTCCCGAAAAATTGTTAATCACGTTTATAATAAGTTTACAACTCAAACTATTTAAATTTAAACGTTTGGTATAATTTTATTTGTGGCCAAAGTATAACAACTTTACTATACTATACATAAAGCGTTTTAAAGAAATTTGAAGGTATTTTTTTTAGAGAAAAAGAGTACCCTCAATTTGAACACTATATATTTTATCGATATAGGTGTTATTATAGACATAAACTTTATAAATATAATCATTAATAATTTTAATTGAAGGCGTGCGTATACACTGACATTACGCTACCACCTCCATTTAGTAACTTATAAATATTAAATTTGTAAAGATTTAGACACAAATCATTTAAAAGTATTTGTCACTTTTAACAGAAAAAAAAAATGTTTTTACAAAACGAAACGTCTGCTGTATGTATTCAATAAAATTAATTTAATTTAAACCAACGTATTTCGTAAGTACAACACGAACAATTATTAACAACTAAATATTTACTCAGAACCGAGCATTTTATTAATTGCAATTACAAGATCTTAAAAACAAAATACATTAAAATGTAGGTAAAACAGTTTAAAATGAACTTCTCGAATCGGTTAACAATGGTGTTTTTTCCCTCAATCATTTCGCATACTTAGCATAATTAATTGACCTGCAGGAACGTTTGAACATGAAAATAGTAAAACTTAAGAATGTTTAACAAAAAACTATGCGATAATAAGTCGAATTCTTGCATGATAATTCATAATTCTAATAGTAGTTTATACTCTCATTTCATTATACGGCGTAATAATAATTAAAAACACATTCCATTCAAAACTATAGTTTAATACTAGGATTAATGTAATATTTTCGGAGATTTTTTTAAACGTTTACGCATATAACTACGTTTCGAAATTGCAGTTATAATAATATTTCTTTTTTAAATTGTCCACCATAGTAAATTATATTGTTCAATAAATAAGATTGTTTTACGAGATTATGACGTGTTTGTCGTTAAATTTAAATATTATTTATCAACGTACATTGTTACGGTTTACTGTTTGTAATCGCGTTAAAACTATAACGATTTGTTATTAAGCCGTCAATACGAAACGATACCTAAAATAAATGTATTTAAATCTAAATAAACCTGTTGTCCGAGTATGTTTTCCGAGAAAAAAAAAACGATGATGTATGTAGAGTGAGCTGTTGAGAATTTCGAAAAATATTTTTCCGGTTATCAACTCCGCCACTTTAAAGGCACGTGAGCAAATCGGAGTATTTCCATAAACGGTAGTGTCTTTTAAAATAAAATAAATGAAAAGCGATTTATTGGATAAAGTAAGTACTGGGAATTTTTAAAAAGTATTTCGAATAAAGTACCTTCGAGCAAAATATCCGCATCATTTATGGTGCAAGATGAAAAATTCGGAACATGTACTATGCGAAAAAAAACACTTCTTGGTAAAACAAATAGTTTCTTATTGCTATAGTCAAATTTAAATAAAAACTCCCCAGTCATTTTGTAATATGACGACGGAAACATCAAAAATGCATAATTTGAATATTAAAAAGACATGCTAGGATAACGGGGACTGGTGCACATACTGTTGTAGGAAATTTAAAGTACATATAAATGTCAATTTATATTAATATTTGTTTTGTGTTGTACCGATTTTCCCAGTTTTCATACGTTTTTCCCGGTTTTCCATATTTGCCTGGAAAACTCTTGGGAAAATCGAAAAATCACTTCCTTAAAGTACTTCCGCACACCGATTTATTTTCGGAAAATTGCTATACATACAAATTGGAGCAAGTCTTCCGATAGAAAAGTTGCGTGCAGATAAAAAAAAAAAATAAAAAAATTAACATCTATGTAAATTCATAAGCTTCTTTGTTCCACTCAAAATTTAAAAGTAAAAAGAAAACATTGATGACACGATAATCATTTTTAGAGATATTTTCGTTACACGCAAACTGTCATCGTTTTACTTTGAATCAGCGATGTGATCGGAATAAATTTATATCGTCAATCAATTTACACCGTATTAATATCTAAAATATGCATAAATGTACACTTTCGTTCTATACTAACCAAGGAAACTAGAAATCAATAAAAAAAATTAAATCATCAATCAAAAGTTGAAACGTTAAATTTAAATTTAATATCGGGCTCCGGAGTCTGTGCGTTAAGTCTAATTTAGCTTCTAAAAGGCAATTTTTTTTTTTTTTACAAATAGTTCGTTAAAAAGCATGTTATTAAAACAAAAATTTGGATAACGCCGATGGATGTGACACTGTTGTAGGTTGAAAATGCGGGAAGGCGTCATAGAGTTATTTAGTTTATATCCGATAAATCATTGTTAATGAAATACGATTCTGAGTGAAGTTCGGCTAAACATGTTTTGAACTGCCGTGATTTTAACGATTTATCGTCAATATTTGAACTTGAAACGTTTATCACCGGCTAGACGACATTTACTTTCAGAAATTATGTTTCCTAATTTCTGGTTCACGGATGCACAAAAAAAACCAAGTTTGTTTTTAAAAAGAAATTTAGTTATATTTTTTATCTTTAATTTTAGATATTTGCAAAATTATACAGTTTTTATCAATTTTCTAGAATGGAACGTGCAAAAACAATATGAAAAATAAAAATATGCCAAATCAGAGGGGCCAAAATTTTTGGATTTCGTGGGGCGTTTCGCTGCGTGATGGAACGTACAAATTTTTAACTATTTATGTTTTACAGGTGGTAGTTGTACTTACAACGTAACAGTTTGGTTCATATTTCATTCGGTCGTGCGACGTGTTCTATCGAATTTCCTTGAAAAATTATTATAATATCATAGTCGCAACTTAAAAGCTTTTCTCGGATGAACGCCGGTGTTTAGCGTAATATTAAAAGAAGAAGAAGAAAAAGCATTTTCGCCGGACATATTATATTATTCCGAAAAGGTACGCCGCCATTAACTAAGTACACTTTTATAACCCGCGGTCGTTTACAAGTGGTTCCCGGTGAACGACGTCTGCAGTTTATATGCGTTACACCGTCGTTTTTTTCGTCTTTCGCTTTGGCACGAAAGCGGCACTTTTTCGAGTAGCTGTGTTATACGCGTACGTTACACGCCTAGAATAGGCGCTTTTGTCGTTATTTATTACAATTTATACGTATCTCTTTTAAAGTCATACATTTATATAAATGTAAATGTTTGATAATATTATGCACATACACAATGGTACCTATACTGTATCTACTTTTTTTTTTTTTTTTTTTGGACATTTGGTAATTAATTCAATATTTTGTGTTCTGAGCGAAGCGGGGGACGTATTAGGTATTCAGTTTTGTTACGATGTGCGGCTATTTTTTTGTGTGTCTGTAAAGTGCAAACAATTTTTCAACCGAAAATCTCGCCCCGATCGAAAACACACGCGAGACCTTTGTTGTTGAATTTCGGATTTGGTCGGGGCATTGAGGAGGTCATTCTCCGAGCAGTTCTCCATAATAATCGGGAAAAACTAGAAAAAAAAAAAAATCTCTAAAGAAAAACAGAAAAAATGTACGGCGTTCACGCCGATTTCTTTTTCGAACCAGAAATCTTGTTGGGAATTTCATGCGTATTTCCGAAAGGCAATTTTAGTTCGTAATGAGCTGCCGTTTTTTTGATTTTCTTTGTATTTTTTTATACATATATATAAACCGGGAAAAAGTAGGAAAAACGGAAAAGTTTACGGAAATAACAATTTCATTATTTTCGATTTTGTTTTTTTTTTTTTTTTTTGTAAATCGGATAGAAAGAATTATGTTGCCTCAATAGAGGAGGTGTTACGCTGTTACACATAAAAAGTCTAAGTTTAAGCGTCGAATTCAAAGAAAATAACGATATTGATATATTATTATAAATGGGGCCGTGAATTTGTAGGAAAGCTTTCTGAGTACATTATTTGAAATAAGTAACAATACATTTATTTATGAAACTTTCATTTTGCATCTTTTGACTTTTTTAATTTTTAAGGTAATTTATTGGACTTTTTTAAATAATATTTTCCTTTTTAGTTCATTTTCCGGTATTTTTAATCAAATTCCGTCAATTATTAACATCATCTTTACACGCATATTCTTTGTTTTACGCAGGCTGTATATACCTACGTCAAATTTATATTTTACACGAGCTGTATATACGGGTAGGTAAAGATTAGGATTTGATAAATACAGCAATATTGCTTAAATTAGCTATTTGTGGACTTGCGATATATCGATATCGGTTATATCAGTAGTATGAAAATTAAATGAAAACATATTTTAAGTGATTTTTTTTTTATATTGCATTTTTAAAGTTTTTCACTGCATTAAATTCGCAGCTTTAATTATAAGCAATAACAGTAACGGTTTTGCAGAACGTTTATTACGATAGCGTTGTAATGCATTGTAGACACGGACGAAGTATAGTTGTAAAACGGCGTTTTAATTGTGTTTGCCGTATAGTATTGCCGACGCAGCAGTATCCTCGTCGTCGCAGCCTCCGACCGTTGCAGTGATGATGCTGACGGCGGCGGAACGTTATTGTGTTACAGTTTTTTTTTGGGAATTACGATAAAGGACTCGATCGAATTGAACCCGGCACTAATAATAATATTCGCTCCAATGATAATATTCTAATACCGAACAATAAAGACGAGCATATACATGTTATTATCCGGCCGTCGAAGTCGCGCGATATCGCTTTTATCCTCAGATATCTGACGGCAGCTAGTGTGCCGGGCCACAACGCCGAAAAGAAAAAAAATCCAAGATTCCGGATCCGTAACGGCCGGTCGTCGGCGAGTGTTGTGGTGTGTACTGTGAAAAAATAATTTTTTTTCTAAAATGCATAAATAAAACTGTAGCATCGATGGTGACACGGCAAAAGGGTCTAAGCGACACAATTCATAGTTTTTTTTTTAGGAGAGTCGAAAACCGTTTATTTATGACTCGAGCATTTTTTTTTTTTTTTTTTTGAAATTTGATAATGACTTTTTCCCGGTCGGAATAGGGAATTTTTTCATTGAATACATTGTTTTTTCGTACGTCCTTATTGATACGAATACGCATTGCCGATTACCTTTTATTGTCGTTTGGGCCGTTTAATTGAGAAGACCAAATAAAAAATATCGTTTATGTCCAAACTTACAATTCAAATTGTACGTTAAATAATGATTACAGCAGTTTTTGCACGCGTGCATTGGACGAAACGCGTATTTTTCTCCGTTCAATAGTGAAGCCGTGTCGCTTAGACCCTTTTGATGAATCATCATCGATATAATGATACCTACAACTATAGCGTTTGAGTTGGTAAAATATTATCCGTATAGAAGAAACGTCAGACATCGCAATCGATAGCTAATTGAAGTTTCGGCGTTTTACTATAGTGTTTTATTATTCGAGTTTTAAAGTCGTGTTTTTAAAACGAACAACACATTTTATTGTTCACTGCTAATATTCTGAACGCAACGGGGAGTCTATTGGTTTTACTATGATATGATGAGTATTTTTGAAATTTTTTATTTGTGTAAACATCTTTTCTACCAGAAAATATATTAATATTATTATTTAATATATTTAATATATTTAATATATTATTAAAAACGAAAAAAATAACATGTTTGTAAAGTGATTTTCTTAATAATTGGTAAAACACGCGACAGTTAATTCTAACCGAAAAAAAAAAATAATTGCTTAGAAATATAATCGAGGTGCCAATACATTATGTTTAAGTACGAAATTTAATGATAACAAAAGAAACAAATTACAACTGAATCGATATCTAAAATAAGGAAACGTCAGTAAAAAATTGAATATATACCTCTACCTATTCCGAAATCCACGGAAACGCTACGAGATAGAGGAAATTACAATATTACAATATTCCGTGTAGACGGAAATTAGATTTCACGCAAAATCCCATTGTTTATACATAACTTAATAATGCGTTATAAAACTAAAATTTAATTTTTAAGTTTTTAATAATGTAAAACAAAAAAAAAAATGGCCGCTTTACTGCTGTATAGGTCATTCAACACAATATCGCGAAACTCCCAAAAAACAAAAAAACAAAACAATAAATTGTTTTTAAAAATGTCTCGAAAAATATTGACCTTAACGGGGCATAATAGTTTTATACGCAAACAAGTTTACATAGACTTTTCTTGGGTCGTGAAACAGACGTATATTTGTATAATTTAATACATTCACCTGGGTACAAAATTCGTTTCCGGTTTTCCAGTATCCTGGCCGAGAGAGACTAAGCGACGGACGCCGAAGTTTCCGAAAACATCGGAAGCGAAGTTTTCAGTAGGTACTAAATACAAAATGATTAATGGCGATAAACGCGCGCAATTTTAAACTCGTGATATTTAAACGGACAGCGAAAGTTACCAGACTGATAACGAGTGTGAACGATATTGTGAATTGTATTTTTATATTGGATCAGTCGCGACTCGCCCGAAAATTGCCCGTATCGTACACAGCCGTCCAATATCCTTCACTACTATAACATATTGCCGCAGAAAAAAAAAAAAAATCCTACGGCACAGTCATCAGCACCTGTTCATACACACTATATTACGAGTATATCACAATATCAGTACGAATACGTTATAGTATTTTATACAGGGTAAATCAATTTTTATATTATATTATCTCGGGAATTACGCGTTGAGCTTTTTCGGAATTTTGTTTTTAGAAAATTTAACACACACGTTACATATTGCACAGTTCTAGAACATATGACTTTGCCCTCGTTTTTCGCCCTCGCCTGAGTTTCCGGCGGTAAAACTCGTACTAAATTGCAAACGGTAACGTATATTATGTATCGACAAATCTTAAAAGACAGTAGAATAACGTACACGTAAAATCTACAGATAGCGCGTATCTTAAGTTTTCCACAAAAAAAAAAAAAAAAAAACCAATTGAAAACTGTCTATGATTTCCGAGATAATGATGTAACACGGTGTTCTGCGGACGATTCACCCGGTATTTGTTTATATAAATGCGTTATTTCAACGTTAAATCTAAAATGGTAAATTTTAAAAATTAGTTTATGTCTAATTACTTTGTCAACATCACACGTTCGCGAATATTTAATAATTATATTGATATTGTATGAGGTTAAATATTATTATTGACAATTTTCTTGCTATTAAACGTTTAGACGGCCTTAATTCGGCGTCATTGGACTCGCCAGTGACCGCGAAAATGTTTAACGGTTAGCCATTTACAATAATTTACATTTACTGTTTTATCATTCGCCCGATATTAGCTAAACATTATAAACCTCTTCGTATCAAAATAATATAAAAAAAAAAAAAAAAAAAGTCCACGTTTACCGGTAGCGCGAGTATTTTCAGAATTATTTTACTTTATCGGCCATTTTAAAGGATCGTTTACAGTTTTATTGTTTTACGATGTCGACAATAAAACGGACGGTTGCGCTAGTTTTGACGGCAATGTCAATTATCGTGGAAGCTGAGCAAGACGAAAACGTATTGGGCAATCCCAAGATGCCCTTCAATAAAACGGTGAGTGTTCGCATTTTGTTATTATTTATGGCGGTGCACTTACCGAAAACACCCACTTTGTGTACATTAACAACGTGATCGGGAATCGGTCATAAGCTCGAATACCACCATAGGGAAATTTAATTTAATTTTAAACAAATATTGTAATCCGCGTTTAAATCCAATTACGTTACGCTCATTGCTTGTACACAATCCCGTACGACTTGTCGGAACAAAACACACCGAACCGAATTGTTGTAATAATATGCAGTTACGTAGTTTTATCCGATTCCGAAACAAACTGTGCATTATTGGTATTGCTATTTATTTATGTTAACGTAATATACCTTACACATTATTATATGAACTATACCGTTTTGTTAGTTTTACTGAGCTATCGTTTTATTGACATTCGGATATTTTCCCGTTAGTAGCCCAACACAGCCATACACCAAAATATCCGTGGCGTAACTAGGGTTTTAAAAATTTCTCATAATTATTTTTATTATTATAACAAGGGTTATGCATAGGAATAATAGGGTGTTTTTGAAATATGCGTGTAAATATTAATATTTAAATTAATTGAAATTACTTCTTAAGAGAACTTCGCTCCGATGGCGTTTTGTAATCTGATTGTTTGTGTACCTAGGCTATTATGGAAATGGAACCATGGGAGTGTACCATACGATTATCTAAACACGTTCGTCCTATCCAGTACGTCCTGTATATTAGCTCGAATTCGGAAACGGATTCATTTACCGGAAGCGTTGAAATTACAATAATATTGGACAGTCCTCAAAGCTTCATTAAATTACATTCAAGCGAATTGAAAATTACGGAAACTACGTTGGACTCGAATCCGATAACAGCGTTTTGTTATTCAAAATATCAATTTTGGGTGGTGGTCCCCGACGAAGAACTAAGTGTCGGCATACATACATTACGGATGAAATTCGACGGTTGCTTATCAAATACAATGTTTGGATTTTATCGAAGCGATTATTTTGATGAGGGCACCTACAAACAACACACCATTGTTACCACACAATTTGAACCGACTTTTGCCCGGTCTACTTTCCCGTGTTTCGACGAACCGGAGATGAAATCGAAATTTCAAATTAGTATTACACGGCCGTCTGGTAACAACTTTATTGCGTTATCTAACATGGACCAAGAGGTAAAAATTAATTTTGAATTAATTTTAATTGCGTACCGTGATTGTTGACATTGACGTTGGATAATTGTTTACAGTGCGAAGAACCCGTATCTCCCGCTAACGGATTGACTATTGCACGTTTCGCAAACACTCTCCCGATGTCTACGTACTTAGTCTGCTTCATTGTATGTGATTTTCAAGCATCCGAGATATTCAAAGCAGATCAGGGATTCTTAATACGAACTTTTGTCCGGAGAGATCAACAGAAAAATACCAAATACGCCAGCTATGTCGCTCTCAAAGCGATTAACTATTTTGTGGAATATTTTGGCATAAAATACATGTTACCGAAGTTAGGTACCTATTCTATACTATGGATTTACGATTCTGAATGATGATAATTATTTCTATCGTAATATGTATATTCGTTTGCACATATATAATTATTGTTTTCGTGTCACCTTTTCAGATATTATAGCGATTCCAGATTTTGAAGCAGGTGCTATGGAAAACTGGGGTCTTATCACTTTTCGTGAAACACAACTTTTATACGACGAATGTACTTCGTCTAGTACCAGTAAATCGTCAGTAGCATCTACAGTTTGCCACGAATTAGCTCACATGTGGTTCGGAGATCTCGGTAGACAAATATTGAACTAAATTAGTAAATTAGCATTCATAACACAATACAAAAATTGACTATATTAACTATATATATATTTTGAATAGATAAATTTATTTTAACTTTGTAATGAGTATCCATGTACTCTTTGAATTTAGTTTTGTTTTATTTTTATTTTCATAATTGCCATTATAGCGGTATCTGTAATAGGTGCATTGTAATTTATTTTATTAAACTGAAAATTAAAAATGTCCCGGGACAATAGATATGGGTGCAGTCATTGTTCTAGGTAACTTAATGTATATTTAAAAGCAACGATAAACCATTGCTAACGAAAAAACGATTCTGAGGGCAGTTAATTTGATAGTGAAACTTTGTCAACAATAAATATATATATCATATTATATGGTGAAATATCTAATTATATATTTAATAATATTTGTTTAATATTGTACCAATTTTCCATCTTTTTCCGCGTTTTTTTTAGTTTCCCCGTGTTTTTTTCCCCGGTTTTTCAAATTTGCTGGGATAACTCTTGAAAAAATCGAAAAATGACTTCCCAAAGTACCTCCCCAGTCAGATTTCCTTTTTGTAATTTTTTTTTTAAAATATATACATTTCGTACATTTTCCGAATTTGTTTTCCAGTTTTTTCCAGATATTATAAAAGCCGCTTGAAAAATTAAAAAAATTACCTCCCTAATTACCATGGAGATAAAATTTTCTTTCAAAAAATAAGCTACACTTGATACATCGGAGCAAGATTTTTGGTAGAAAAGTTTGCACAACAAATCGAAGGGGTATTTTGCAATTAAAATATCCTGAGGGAGCGATGTCTTGGATCTCTAGGTACATCCACAATGCATTTGTTTTTTCCTTGTTTAGGTAAAAGGGTAAAATATTAGTTTTCTGTTCAAATTTCAATTTTGTACGAATATTTTCAACTGAATCACAACAAATAACAAAATTGAAAAATTTCCAGTATTGTAAATTTCCAGTTTCAACCTGGTTTTTCCCAGTTATTATAAAAACTGCTTGGAAAATCAAAAAAATGATCCCCCATAAGTACCATTTGAATAATATTCCTTTTCAGAAATGGTGCCACGCGTATATATCTGAACACGATTTATGGTAGAATTTTTGTATACAGGATAAAAAAAATGAACACTTAGTAAAACCAATATATTCTTCGCTAAACTCAGAATCTAAAATTAAATAGAAAAATTTAAAATAAAATTTTCAGTAACTATGGCGTGGTGGACGGATATATGGCTCAATGAAGGGTTTGCTACTTTCATGTCAATAAAAGTTATAGAAGTCATCCATCCCGATTGGGATTTTGTGCGTATTACATCATATAAATAAACTTCGAATTTATTTTGTTGTTAATTAAACTAAATTTATCTAATATTGTATTCAGGATACAATGTTTCTAACTTATAAACTACACGTAGTTTTGGACAAAGACAGTCAAATTAATTCACACCCTATCGTACAAGAAGTCTCTAATCCGCAAGAAATAGATTCGATCTTTGACATCATATCATATGATAAAGTATGCCGAAAAAAAAAAAAAAAGAAAAAAAAATGTACATCAATTGAAAATTATTTTTCGCCGCTGTTTTAATTCATAGCATACGCTTTTCCGTTTTAGGGTGCTTCTATATTACGGATGTTAGAGGGAATGTTGGGTGCAGAAGTATTCAGAATTGGTATACGCGCATATTTAAACCGATATCAGTTTGGTAATGCACAGACAGACGATTTATGGTATGAAATACAAACAGCTTTTGAAAATGTAGCCGATATCAAAAAGGTGAAATCATACGTTTCTCATTATTAAAAAAAAAAAATTTATAAAATAATACATAGAACTATAGCTGACCAAAAGCAAATTGAAATGATAAAATAACGTACGTTTTTACTGCGAGTTTCTCTATTTCCATAAACCAATCGTAACTGAGAAACATCATATTATAAGACTGAACAAACAATCTTACTTGTATAACGAGTGATTTGTAATTCTCCTTAAAAATGATACCGGGGCATCCGAGAGGTATTCCTTAGTGAAAAAAGGCCCGTCATAGTGCTCTGCCTGCGATGACTAAAGTAAATTGTAAAAAATGAGTGGTTCTTTTTTTTCGTCCGTAGCTGCATAATCAAGGGAATGCAGAAATTAAAAAAAAAAAATACATAATTTTTGTACTATAGCGGCTAAATTCAAGTGTTTGGGGTTGCAATAATTTAAAAACCCTGCGTGTTGAAAATTTCACATTTTTCGCGTTTCATAGAGATTCTGTTTTACACAGCGATCACGCAAATAAACGTTTTCTTTAATTATTGTTTTTTCCTATTTAGGAATTGTATACAACACTAATATTTTGCACAGCCATAGTGACTGTATTTTTTTTTAAAAAAATTAGGTAATGCACACGTGGACTCAACAGGAAGGTTACCCGTTGGTAACGGCCACGTTGGACGGAACCAAACTAACATTAGAACAGCATAGGTTTTTAATCGATTCGAGCGCCACGTATTGCGTGGACTCGTCTCCGTTCAAATACAGATGGGAAATACCGTTGACGTACGTAACGTCCGAAAACGACACCGTACATAAACTTTGGTTATGTAGCGATCATAGCTCCGGTAAGACGTGTCGTACCTAAAGTGTTATTATTATTATTATTATAATTTTTTTTTTTTTTTTTATCGCGTATGGATATTTAACATGAACAATGTATTGTTTATTAATTTATTCAAAAGTCACGGTCGAATTGCCCGAAATACAGTGGATAAAAATCAATTATCGCCAACGGGGATTTTACATTGTAAATTATTCGAAGAGCAATTGGTGCGCGCTAAGCAATCTGTTGCAAACGAATATTAACGTAAGCGATATATTGTATATTGCACTGCAGCCTTTTGAACAGGTAAACGGCTCGGCGTGTGTAGATAAAGGAAATATTATTTAAAGGCCATCAGCGCTGCCGATCGCGCGAATCTCCTATACGACGCGTTCAGTTTAGCGGAAGCCCAATACCTGACGTACGACATCCCGTTGGAAATGACGAAATATCTAGTCGGCGAATGCCATTTCGTGCCGTGGACTGTGGCGAATACGAGATTTTTCAAATTGTGGTATAAGCTTAACGGTCGGTGCGAATATCCCCAATACGAGGTAGGGTAATAATGGCTAATCGGCTTGGTCCGATCGACCTACGACCATGTACGCGATCGAACTAAATGTCTTGTCCATTAAAATCCATTGTGTTTCAGAAATATTTACGACATTTGTTGGGAGGCATAGAAGATGACGTGTGGAACGTCCCGGACGTTCAGACATTTTCGCAATCTAGATACCGTTTAGCAGTCATTAAATTGGGCGGTTTATGCGGCGAACCGACGTATGCAACGAAAATTCACGAAATGTTCAAAAACTTCTTGTACGAGAACATCGCGATAAACCCGGATATAGAAGAGGACATATACAACTACGGTGAATATGTTTAGAATAAAATAATAACGTATTAACGTCTTACCTTTTTTTTAAAAAAAAAACACAGTAATATAACGATTAAAGTATAATATTTTGTTCGTTTTAATTTTACTCGTTTGTTTATTCTCCCCAGGAATAGCCTATGGTGATGTTAATGATTGGAATAAAGTATGGCATTTATATTTAAAAGAACAGGACCCTGACAAAAAACTCTTATTTTTGGTAGCGTTGAGTTATTCGAGAGACACGTCGTTGTTAAAAAGGCAATTTTTTATCATCATTATTATCATTTTTTTTACGTTGTGAACAAAAAAAAATGAACTACTAATAATTTTAGATTGATACAATATGGGAAAACCGGAAGCTACGTTCTTCCGCAAAATTTCATTAACCTCTTAGGTGCGATGAGCGAAAATCCTTTGGCGAATTCAATAGCTTGGGACTTTATCAGGTTTATGTATTACAGATACATATTATTATTTTACAGTGATAAATTGTTTATATTTTAATTTTTTCTTTTTTTTAGGTGCGAATGGCAATTCTTGTTGCATTATTTATCGCCAAGTAACATAGGTCTCGGATACATAACGATTTCTATATGCGGTAAATTTAATACACAGCAACGTCTTGACGAGGTGAATGTTATTCTTCGATCCAAACAATTTAAGACTGTAGTGGTTTTTTTTTTTTTTTTTTCTGGGCGGATTTGTTTTCGTTCAAAATCGACCTTTTGGTTTTCCACCAAAGTAATATTATACATCGTAAACGAAAAAAACATTTTGGTTACCACTGTCCACGAGTCTATATGTTACGAGCCGTAAACAATAAAATGTTTTCAGCTTAAATAGGAAACTCCAGATTCTAAATTAAATTATGCACCGTAATCTTGCGGATAAATGAGATAAGTTTTAATCGAAAATTGCGCTAAATTATTGAAACTCATTTAGCATTAGAAAATACAGATGTTATAACTTGTAGAGGCGAAGAATTTTTAGTTCTTAACGACATAATAAGAAATATTGTTATTTTTTCGTGTAATACAAATTTAAACATTTTGTGTTTGATTGTTTTAATTTTACTATGACTGAACATTTAAACGATACACTCAATTTTATACATGTGTAAATAAAACTTTCAATAATAAAAAAAAAATTGCATTGGTAACAAAAATATCTTTTTCATTTATGACGAATAATATTACTTTGCGCGAAAACCAAATCATTCTTTTCGAGTTTGGGTAAAAAAGGTAATCATATGGGCGAAAACAGGTACGCCTTTATTTTTAAATTTAAACTTCAATACCGAATTCTTATTACTATCAAAGGAAAAAATAATAATAACGTGTTTATACAGATGAAAGCGTTTTTCAAAAACTATCCAGACGCCGGTGCCGCGAAATCTGAACGAGAAACGGCGCTCGAAACCGTTGTACAGAATATTGATTGGCTAAAACGAAACGAAGCCTTTATTATTGATTGGTTGAAAAATAATAATCATTAAACGAATTCCGATTTATCGCTATAATAACGTACTCGTGTCATCTAATAAATACCATTAATTTGTTTTACAAATCGCCGTTACCAATGGTAATATCGTTTCCGTTAATTTAATATTTAGCTATCTCAAAAATGTCTGAACATATAATTCAATACGGCGTAGATGGAATAATAGTTTTTGAAATGTTTTCGCCCGATGACGACGCTGATAAATATCGAAATATTCACGAATTGATCGTGATATTTTACACACTCTTCTCGGCTTTTTTCTCATCGACGGAGGCCAAAATGTCTTAAAAAATCAATATTTCTCCGTTGTATTTTTTTTTTTTTTTTAAAATTAAAATACTCACGAAAACGATAATTTGGCGTTTAACTCCATCGAGTTCAAACGGATCAAAGACAACTGCTTCGGATCGAAATGGACGTAACGAGGTATTCAAACACGAATTCGCACATTATTTTTCTCGCACGACGTACCACAATGCGATGTCGAAAAGTTAACATCGCGTATTCTAAGGTCAAAGGCATTCTCCGAATCCGTACGCCGTAACCGCCGCGTACGTCGAATAATAACGCGGTCACGGTGTCCCGGCCGGTCAGCACGGTGTTTATGACACCGATGTGTTACCGAAGTCTAAACACGCAATTGATAATCGCGTATTCGATTTTCGCGATTTTTTTTCCCCCCCCCCCCCC